GCGGGGAGGTAGTCACCATTCTGCTTGCGTATCTACCGAACATATTCCCCCACGGGCTGTTTTATTGTTGTCACGGGGGGGCCAACAACAACAAGGGAGAAGGGGCTGCCGAGTCCCCTTGAGCGGTTTGGAAGTGTGGTGTGAAGGTAGCGGAATTGAGAGGGTTCGAAAGCGAGAGCTGTTTCGACAGCCGTAAGTAGCGTGGTGCACGATGAGTGGTGAGCATCGGACTCGTCGGGAGGGAGTAAAGATGCATCAATCAAGGGTTCTTTTCTCTTCTTTCTTTCTTTGTATCCGGAAATGGGGCGATAGATATTATTTTACTTTGTGAACGCCCCATGTTGTAATTGCAACCAACCCATAAACCACATTACGATATAATAACCCGCCTTCATCTCGAACCCACAACCCCTCACTTGTCCTTTGCCACCCTGGACTCCTGCGCCAAACATGCGGCTCAAATCAAGTGGCACCGACTCCCTACAAAGTTTTCCTTAACTGAACACTTCCCCCCACTACAACCCTCTACTCGAGTATCAGCAAGTCTATAATTATCATCCCACCCCCAACAAGTGTAGCAAGGAGGGGCAAAAATCGCGCTCGAAAGCTAGGCCCTCAAAATCCAGCGCCCTAGTCCACGTGGAGCCTGCACCTTCGGAAAGAACGAAGAATGGAGTACCAGTTCAAAAGAAGGATGTCGAAGAGGAGTTCCTCGAAAAATTAATCTTTGGTGACGCGGAAGGTTTCGAGGATGGGTTGAATGAAGTTGATGGTAGAGATTCTAACGATAGCGACAAAGGAGGGATTGCACCTGTCGGAGATGGAGATGGAAATGAAGATGCGAGAACAGACTTACAAGCACTTCTAGACGATGAATTATTCTGTGTCGATAAGGGGCAGTCCGACAACGCTATAATCCCCTCCGAGAGTATTCGGGACGCCAGCCATGACTCTTCAGAAGAGGAAGGAGAGGAAGATCTTCCAGCATGGCAAGACTCCGATGACGAAATGCTCGCCATCTCACTTGCTAATCGGGGCTTTCTACGCAAGCTTCGGGACACCGAGACTGAAGGCCTCATCAGTGGGAAGGAATATTTTGCGCAGCTGCGCAGGCAGTTTGAGAGGATCTATTCCGTACCTGAGTAGGCTGTCAGTGATTCGGTTAGGAAGAAGGCAAGGTTGTATGGCGCAGGTTTGGGGAGGAGCGATGAAGAGATGGACGGAGTAGGGGTAGAGGAGGATGCTGGGGAGCAGGAAGCATTGAGATCTGCGCCTAGTCTTGAGGAGATTCTAAGGAGTACTACAAACTGAACACGTGCCGTTCTAAGGAGGTTGCAGTCGGGGAAGTTGACGATGGTGGGTCTGGCAGATGGGAATAGTATTGGTGGTAGTTAGGTAGACCTCCCACCCACCTTCTCTAGGCATCAAGCAATTACCAAGTTGCCAGTCAATGATATCAACCCCCCAATCGCACCCCCACCACCCCCACCACCCCCTTCTCTCCTCAGGCCCTGACTTGACCCTCCGCCTACACCACATAAACGGGACCACAACCCCCCCGCTGCATCCTTGCACCTGCTCAACATTCCCTTCTCAACAGCCCACTTCCACCCATCCAGCACAAGCATAACCGCCGCTGGCAGGCGAAGATACTTCCACATCTAGAACCTCTCGACAGGCACTATCCAAAAGGTAACCCGGATACATGGCCACGCAGAGATGCAGAGGTCAATGGAGACCTTTCGTATCTCCCCAGACGGAAAATTCATGGCTCTCGACGCCAGCCGCGGATTTGTCAATATCCTAAACACGACGACATACCAGTGGGTCTGCGCTGCAAAGATCGAAGGTCGGGTTGCAGACATATCCTGGTGTGGTGACGTCGCGGTCTGATAATAGGGAATAAAGCAGGCGGGATATGGGAATTCGACGTGCTCTTGGAAATAGCAGTCGCGCGCTGGAAAGACGAGGGCGGACAGGCAACCACGGTCCTCAAGAGCGGTGGGACCGGGTGGATCGCCATCGGTAGCCAGAGCGGGATCGTAAATGTATATGATCGCACTAGGAGCTAGCCACACAAACTAGAGAAAACATGAGAGTAGTCCCCCGGTACCCCTTGCCCTCTCTCTGCGATCATTTCCACACCACGCGTTGCCCCACTTCGGAAACCCCATCGGTTGGGAATGTACAGTGCATATATTCTATGCCAATCTAGGATTATCCACAGGTATACCAGGGTATTTAGCGGGAGTGATGGGGGGCTGGGGGGTTCATTCATCAAGTCTGGACCTCAGTGGGAGGGCTGGGATTCGTGATATCTTCGTGAAGTTATTTTTGTCCTGTTATTCCACCTCTCTATCCATCAAAGTCTCGGAATGTACATGACGCCATGGGAATTGGTAAAAGAGCTGGGGATGAGATAAAGGTAAGAGAGGTGGATCTGCCGTGATCACCGCCTATTCCCACCCATCCACCTGTCTGCCTGACAGACATACGCTATCGTGAGGGGGGTTGCCTAAATAAGGTGTGGGGTGAAGGTAATCTCTGTGCCATAAACGAAGGTTTTTTGGTCACCTTTATTCATCTCTTTTTCTCACTGCAATACATGTTTTGTGCGAACGAGCGACTGAATGCGGAATGGTGTAACAAGGCCTATGTGGGTGTGCGGAGTCGGGTCAGACCATATAAAGCACGGGGAGGGTACAGTGGTGTGAGGTGCTGGGCCCACTGGCTGTTGATTCCGAGTGAGCACCTGTGACCCCTGGCTTCCCTGATGGTTAATTTGGTAATCACTTATTCCCTGGGGCAAGAGGACGCTCAAATGCTGGTATAACACCTACCACCTGCCCCAACCAGAAAGCCGATATTGACTCAAGCTCCTCACATGTGTAGCAAATGAGAATGTACTGTGAGCTGACCAAGGACTGACCATCCTGAAATTCGACAGGCCCACCGCGGGTTGAGAGACTCCTTTTCAAATAACGGCCGGGTTACAGGAACAGGATAAGGCACGATCACATAATAGGACACAGATAAGGAAAGAAGATCTCTGTTTCGTACTTGTAGCTAAGAATGGAAAAGATAGGAGATATATAAAGCACATTTCCCAATCCTTCTAATGATCACCACACATATCTTTTCTGTTCCATTCCACACATGTCTCCCGGGCTCTGTCTTTCAGACTCCCGTGCTACCAAAATAAGAAGAAAAAAGGTATATGCTTCTCCCACCTACCACCTACCACCTACCACCAACCTTCCATGCTTATGACCTTTCTGCCGTGACGAACAACGGGCAATGACCTCTGTGCAACAGTGGCCAGCAAACGGGTGATGACATACGAATGAGCCGATAGTGTGTGTGTGTATGGGCGACAAAGGACAGATATCAACGATGGATATCAGCGACAGAGAGGGATGATGGATACAGACAATAAAGAGCGACGATAGCGGTAACGGGAATGGCAGCGATACGAACAGGCAACAGCATATGAGCGGGCGATAGCGGATGAACGGATAAGAGATGACAAAGAGCAATGATAGCGAGTATGTCGATCAGCAGCTTATGATTTCCCGCAACCCTTTCCCAGAAGAAGGGCCCCAGAGGAAAATGAGGTGGCAGTTGACACGACCATGTCAATCCTGGGTAAGCCCCACCTGATCTGCCTGCCTGACCCGGACTACCCCTTATTCGTCCTGTAGTATGCGCAATTCCTAGATTGACAGTATTTCTCTATCCTCTCAACTGGCCTTCAGGCTTGATACCCTTTTGGTGTGCTCCATCAGAGTGGCCTATCTCGCGTACTCGAGTATATAGATGTATGCAGATGTAGACCTGGTTGGCTCCTTAAGATCTATCATGGGGCCACTTGCTCAAGTCATGGCCTTGCAAGTCTGCTGCAACCCATTGCCCGGCGCCCAGGAAATGTTTGTTTCCACCCGCAATTGGCACAAGAAGCGCTGAGGGCAATATGACTCGTGGTCCACCTGTAGTACGGTACGGTAGTTGATGAGAGTGGAGCATGACACTACACGGAGATGTTAGACACAGTGGTTCAGTGCTACGAGTACCATGAAATCCACTATATCCGGCCTCACACAAATCTCCCTGTACCTCGTGTCATCCGAATATAAGTTTAGTTGCCAAGTTAACGAAGATGAACACAGCCAAAAGCGGAAATTAGGGGGTGCCAGAGATAGTGGATTTCATAGATAGGAGCAAGACTTCAGATTACTAAACAAAAAAAGTAATCATGCTAAAGCGACCTTCCGCCCTGATCTCAACTCACCTCGAGGATATTCGTGTGAGCACATTACCGGTACAAGTAGCGTTGTTGGCACTAAGTTACAAGGGTTTGTGCCATGACACAGCCCTCCATATCAATGTGCCCGGCACGGCACTACGTAGTGCCCAAGCAATATATGTAGCAATAAAATGGCTTCGCAAGAAGAAAAGACTGCGGAGACCAATGGCTTACACCCACCACTAACCGAACCCGCTCCATCAAACGCCTTAATAACCTCCTTCTCCGCAACACCAACTATGAAAACACACCCCGGCCTCGCCCAATCCCCCTCCTCCTAGCCGCAATTTGACTACCCCCCCTTTAGTATCACTAACCTATCGGGACACTCCTCACCCTTTCCCCTGCCTCTTTGAACTCAGACCCTGGAAATGGCACCTGATCACCCTCCTCCCAATACCAACGCCTAGTCTCCGCAGTTCTTACGAGCTCCCCCGGTGGCGGACATACCCCTGATCTAGCGCTCTTCAACCCGCGCTGGTTCCCCGGTGATTACAATGAATTTGGCCCCAGTGCGGCTAGAGGTGATCCCGGGGGTCCACAGTAAACAAGCGCCAACACTATATTTGACCGGCTGACCGAGAACAAGCCAGACCCATACCAGGAGGAGACTGGCGGGTGGATTAGGCTTGAAATGCTGGCAACAGAGACGTTGGATCAGAAGTTCGTGGATCAATTCTTGGCCCTTTAGCTGGTGTAGGCTTGCCCTTCTGTCTGGTGTAGTTTTCCTTTCTTGTTTTTCGTCCGCCCTTCCCGTCCCCGTCGGAGTGAATCTCGCTCGGCTTCCCTCCGCTTGTTTGCTTGTTTGCTTCCTTGAGACTTATGCGCTAGGTTCCCCCCCCCCCTTTCTCCGAATTCCTTTTTCCTTCTTCCTTCCTCTTTAGGGTTTTATATTCAAGTGATAGGTTATTCTGAGCAAAAAGAAATATAACTAATGTGGAGAAGGAGGGGGGGTTGGTTTTCAAGTCAGGGCAAGGAATAAACAGCGTTGTATCATACTCTATTCCTAATGTGTGAGATGAAATGGAAAGAAAGAAAGAAAATTGACGAGAAAAACAAAAAGAAAGAAAACAAGAACGTAGAGATCATGCACCACATTCCGCCAGAGGACTCCATGGGTTAATTACCATTCACGCTCCAGTATGGGCTCCGGTTTGGGTATCAAACCTGGAGTAGTAACGTTTTTGTTCACACCGACTCCAGATCACCATATTGCAGTCCCCCATAAGATAGCAATGAGGGAGGGGCTGGAGGGGGAAAAAAAAAAATGGGAAAAAAAGAGAAAAGAAAAAGTGGATAAGCAGAAAATAGCGCCCTAACTCTCTTCATCAAGGCCTATCTACATGTAAATCGAGAGAGGTCTTGCCTCCAGCAATCATAGACTCGGTAATTACATATGGGATAAGAATAGTGAGGTAGCGAGGAAGGGGGGATGTAAATCTGAGAGGCAAATGAAAGAGGTAATGAAGAAATACAGGTTTGCTGCGAAAGAAAGGTGTAATTGACCGTTCGGGTGGGTAACAGGTTTCCTAGGAGGGCGCTAGGACCATTGGGGCCGTGTAGGAGGGGGTTGAGGCAGCATGGGTGGTTCGGCTGAGGAGAGCTCATTCTCTACCGACTTGGGAGCAGAGTTCTTGGAGTCCCATACCGCTTCCCGCCGATCGGGGTCTGCCAATTGGAGTGCCGCTTGAATGCTAAAGTTTGAGATGTCAGTATTAGGATCACGACCTCTAGATTGCACCCCCACTGCACACTCGTCCCCATGTCTGGCGGAAGGCGGGAGGAAAGCCTGGCCACTAGTAACCAAATTGCTTGCAACGGGCGGCACTGTATTACGGAGTTACAGCCCATAAGTTTTGTAGATTTTACTAGCAAGGGGTGTTCAGCTAGGAGGGGGGAGGGACCGCGAATCAGGTATGGTCTTCTGCGAATTTGGTACCGCGCACCACACCATACCCAAATTACATTAGGCCGTACCCAATTCACACAAGGCCATACCTAATTCGTAGTTCCCCCCTGCTAGCCGAATACCCCTTGCTAGTAAAATCTACAAAACTTACACGGTGTACCTCCGATTACTATATATCACGGACCAACCAGCGAAAGCTAAATACTAAGGAACTCACAACAGAACAAGTAGAATGAAGATAGAGAACACCACGATAGAACTACGTCTAGCCAGAGCACCATGGAAGAAGCAGGCGAAGAGAAAACAATGGAAAAAGTAGATAAATAGTAAAGGGTCTGAATAAACTAGAAAAACGCCCTCTCCAAAGTCTATCTGCGTCTAACCTGACGGAAATCTTGCTATACCGATTCCGGAACCCAAGCCCGGGCCTTACCAGCAAGCGCAACTCCCACGCCCTAGCGTAAGGCTCAATTATGCGAGTTCGTCCGGTAAGCGAGGAAAGCTAAAAGAAAGGCGCAAGAGCTGATGACTGAATACCGGCTGGCTATGATTGGTAGGGCTGAGCGTGTATTGTTATGGGGGCTATTATCCGAGGACCTGGGGACTGACTCCTTGGGATCTGGTACCGGTACTGATTCCTCCCCATCGGAGTCGACCGGTGAGAGCGAAATTTGGCTATCCGAATCTGTGTTGTCGGGGTTAACATCTTGAGATCTGAATTGTATCCCCACCATACAGCTCATAGGAGAGCGGGAGGGACGATTGACCACAGTCATCGACTTCATCTGAACTACCATCGTCTGAGCCAACTAAGGGGGTGTTTGGTCCGCCAATTATGATTTGAGATCAGGTCTTGGCAACGATAACTTGGATTATTACTAGCAAATATAAGGAAGCAGAAGGAGAATGTAGTAATAATTGAAGTTAAACTTGCCAAGACCTGATCTGAAATCACGATCTCAAATCACAGTTGGCGGGCCAAACACCCCCTAAGATCCTCGCAAGTCCATCATGGCCTTCGGGGAGAGCGAAAAGTGGGGTGGTTGGGACAGGCTCACTCCTCCGCTCTCAGAATCCCGGCTGTCTGAATCTCTACTGTCTGAATCTCCGCTCTCCCGAGTCCAAATATTCGCTGTCTGAAGAGCGAGGAAATTCGTTGCCTTGCCAATCAAAAGAATCGGACTCGCTGTCTGAATGGCAGAAATATTCGTTGTCTTGCCAATCGGAATCTTCGTGGTATCTCCACTCGGGACATTCGATGACACTCCAGTGGGGATATTTCAAGTAATCCCTTGCCTTCATAACCTTTACTATCTCTACGCACCCGTTTCCAACCTTCCAGGAGAGTAGCACCCAGATATTTTCGGCAATTTCCGGATTAGGATTGACCTCCTCTCGTTCCAGAAGTATCTTTACAATCTCCTCATGGTTGGGATTAACATCCCCCCGTTCCGAAAGCACCCCGACAGGCCCCCCTATTCCCACCGCCCGTCAAGCCCATAAATGCTTTGAAAGAATTAGCTAAAAGAAATTAAACAGAGGATTTAATTTGCGACATACTGGTACCCAAGCATACATTTGATTATAAGGTTTTCCGATAGGAAATTATACTCGTAACGTATGTTCTCATCCGCCAATACTTCCGGGTTTTGCCACTCCCAATACAGAAGGGCTTCACCAGAAATCCTCCCCAACCACACATCACCTTCATTTTCCGCTTGCATTTGGGCTATCTTCTTAGATCCGAGATCCTTAATCCAGGAGGGGAATTCCATATTAATGGGTGGCTCAGTGTCCCAGAGTGATACCGTAGACTTGTGTTTGCTAAGAGACTGGTGGCTACCACGGAGGCGGTTTTCGGATCGACAGGTCTAAGACGTTTTTTCGGGGATCTCCATGGGTGTATGTGCCTGCTATTATGATGCACTTCATACGTGGAGGGAGCTGAGGAGAGGATAGGGCTATCTCTTTTGGCTTGAATCGGAATAGCACCTTTATAGCCTCCGTGTGCCCTCTTCGGACTGCCCATATGAGAGCCGTATTCCCCATGCGGTCGACTGCATTAATGTCCAGTTCTCTCGTCTCCAACATGGGAGGAATTATCCCCGCGGTTCCGAAAAAGGCTAATCCGTGCAGTCCTGTAAATCGTGTAGGCTTTTCTGCCCTCAGGGAGTGGTAGGCATCGTAATGCGCATATGCATCATTGTGCAATAGCAGTAATTGAGCAGATATATGCTCATCAAATTTATCGAGAAGCCGAGTGCAAGTATCTTGACATTTTCCGTCACACACCTTCTTGTGTGCTCCCTCCAGTAATAGGAAGCGTATTTCAGAAGGGGCATTGTCGCGGGGGCCTCGCCAAGGGTTGGCAAAAGATCCTTGACGGGTCCGGAATTGAGGTATGTTAAGCAAACCTCGGCAATTGTTGAATGGGGATTATGGAATAGTTTGGGATCACTTGAGAGGTGCTCCTGTAGCGTAAAGTGCACCAGTCGGACAGTGGACAAAGACTCCTCAACCATGAGAAGACCCACACATCATGAACGGATGATCCGTATCGCAGGAGCGTTTTGCGGATCCAGATATGCAGAGTCCATCTCCACTCCCAGGGCATGACGAAGCTCCTCGACCCCTAATGGCCTTTCCGAATACAACACCCACATCAGTGCCTTCAGCCCGAGTGCCCGTTCATCCTTATCCTGCTCCTTCAGCCGGTTTAGGGTTGCCGTGTAGGCATCGCTCAGTCAATTGCCTTGCGCCGTCTCTTCAAGTTTCTTTCTCCTCTGACCAATTGTCTTCCCTCCCATAATAAGCTCAACGTTTAGCGAAGCAAGGAGAAATCTAGAAACAGTTGTTGGTAAGTATGCATTATTGATAAAGGTGAAACGCTAAATTCTCCTACTCACATATCGGACATCTTCTCCAAAATAATTCTCACAATATCTTCCCGTAAATCACCACTCATTGCCTCTCAATCGGTATCCCTATCTAGCCTCCATTCAAGATGATTCTTGATATCTCCCGGTTTGGGTTTGATAGGCACCACCACCACCTCTTGTTTTTCCTCGGAGAAATAATTTTGAACAATTTCCCCGACATGCGGCCTCCCGGTGAGGAATATTCTGGTTCCTGGGGACCCCGAACATCTTGCAGTGACTTAAGAAGCTCCGCAAGAGTCTCCAGTAGGCATTCGTCTAGCGCATCGATACAAATGAAAACTTGGGGCAACGAAGCAATCGCGATCTTCAAAATTCGCATCAGATCCGGAAGTAGCGGCCTTCTCTCTTCCTGGAATTCCCTCCGTATATCCTCCGGGATCTCGCTGCCCACCAACCTCTTCAAAATTGCCCCCATCAGGTTGATGACAGTCTGCTCTCTCCGGGCGCCGTGGTCGCAGTACAACCATGCAACCGCTAGATCTTCCTCCCTCGCCTGATCACAGAGCCTGTCGATCACCATGGAACTAGTGTCTCTAGACGTTAGTGATATTCGCTTCTTTAAAGGAATCCAGCCACTCACCTCAGATATGTCTTGCCCACTCCCGGATCCCCTGAGCAAAACAAGACAGCCTTATCGGCTCTACCCTCTCCTCCCCTCCACTCCTGAAACTCGCTTGTTTCTAAAAGCCCATCCCCGACTCCTTCAAATCGTTCGGTGCGCCCTCCATCATGTCTCTTAGCTGGCTCTATTGGAGTGAGCCAATGCATAATTTTCGCATCCTTGTCCGATTTATAGATGGTGTTGAAACAATTTTCGAAGTTTCCGCAGTTGACATTCTCACTGCCGAATTTGAGCCAGAGTCTGTGTGAAGTTTGGGTCATGATCCAATGCGAAAATAATTAAGAACGAATACAAAGAAGATAAAGTTCTTGAGCCGGGCAACGATCAGCAGCGCTAAGCCCACCAACACACCCTCCTTCACCGCAAAAGGAAGCCTTCATACACAAGTCGAACCACAGAACCCAGAGCAACAAAAAAAGAAAAAAAAAAAGGTCGCGCCGAGATTAAGAACTGGGACATCCATCGCAACCAGCTACAAAATCACAAAATCTATTCTCTCCGCCGAAACCCCCAACACCACCAGGCCCACAATCCCACCAATCCGAGTCGCAGCCAAAATGAAAGGTCCCGTTGTGCTTTTGTTGCTTTTGATTGCTTTTACTCTCAAAGTTGCGGTTGTAGTTCTCGTTGTGATTCTCAAGATAGTTTGCGAGTAATTCTAGCGAGGAAAATGGTTGTGGTGACCGTCTCAGTTCGTAATCTCGGCACAAATAAACCCGCGAATTACTTCCATATACCGATGGGGCTAAGCCGCTGGCGTTTTCGTTTCGCAAAGGTCTCCTCCTCATCATCCAACCCAACCCGAGATTTCAACAGCTTCTTAGCCCGGCGAACAGCCCTGAAGTGCTTTGTGTGGGGAATGGAACCCTCCATAAATTCCCGTAGAACCCCTAAAGCAAACACAATCTCCTCAGAAAGCTAACTTCCCCGTGCGCTGGTTCCTAAGATATCGTGTAGCGGAATTGGAAATTCCTTCGGTTCGGGGCTATCGGCGGGGGGTTGCGGAAGCAATGTTGCCGTAAACGCTTCGACAATATCCGTATTATCTTCTGCTGCCCTGTATAAATGTATTGTGGCCTCCAGGCCCCCAAGTAGGGGTTGTTGAATTTCCTAAATTCGTTTCATATGCATATCCTCCTTGATAATATCGTATATTTCTCTACTTAGTATTATTTCTATTTATGAACATTACTACAGCTGGAGTATGTATTACGTTTATTTCATTTAATATTTCATGATACGATTAGGGGATTATAGCGTGCTTTCTTATCTGGTGTTCAGGTTTGTTTCTTATAATTTATCCGCTCACACCACTTCAGATATACGTATGTTTTATAGGATTTCCTTGGCAGTTTCTCAAGGTCAAACACATTCGCACTTATGTTTTTCTTACTTACGTTACGGTTAAACATATCGATACTTATGTTTTCCCTTATATTTCCTTTTAGTTACTTGAAGGATGCATACCTGTATAAATAGGCATTACCATCCATCTCACTTAAAAGAGATTAAGGACAAGAACTACTACCAATCTACCTTCATACTGGACTCCTCCTCACTTAACATGCCCGTGGTATACTCTTTCTACTACGTCGTATTTTCGTACACAGTTATTAAGATAGTGCCGTACCATACACATTCAAACAGGGGTCGCTTCAACTTCGCGTGTCGATTCAGCTCTAACAACTCCTTCGCCAAACAATTGCGTTGGGTTGTCTGATCGATACTATTTAGCACTGTTGCTTCTTCATCAGTACCCTCCAAGTCATGCATTCCTAGAGCCTGCCCATCGCCTGCCGTCTCCTCCGCACTAGAACCCTCCGAGTCGCGTATTCCTAGAGCCTGCCCATCGCCTGCCATCTCCTCTGCATCAGAGGTATGCCTCTTCTCCATATCACCAGATACCCCTTGGGTTGCAATAATCTCCTTCATGCAAACTACAATTACAACACGAGTTGCCCCTCCCGTGTGCAGTAACCATAATCTGGCATCTTGTTTTAAATCTTCCATCGATTCCGCAAAGCCCGACTCGCATACCACCGTTGGAAAGAGCTCGTCAACTGGCATCACGTACCCATCCGGAAGCTTCTCCGAGAACCCATTCTCATCGCCCATGAACCCTGTAAATGCTTTGAAAGAATTAGCTGAAAGAAATTAAACAGTGTATTTAATTTGTGACATACTGGTACCCGATCCAATACGAACCGTAGTTCTAACCCGCGGCCTACCAAACCTTTCATTCAGGGAGCCCGAAACATTTTCCGCAAAGTACAGTCCCAGCGAGTCGTGTACTGCCGTGGGCATACATTTGATTATAAGGTTTTCTGATAGGAAATTATACTCGTAACGTATGTTCTCATCCGCCAATACTCCCGGGTTTTGCCTCTCCTAATGCCGAAGGGCTTCACTAGAAATCCTCCCTAACCGCACATCACCTTCATTCTCCGCTTGCAGTTTGGCTATCTTCTGAGATTCGAGATCCTTGATCTAAGAGGGGAATTTTATATTAACGGATGGCTGAGTATCACAGAGCGGATCCCGTAGACTTGTATTCACCAAGAGACTGGTGGCTACAACGGAGGTGGTTTTCGGATCAACAGGTCTGGTGTAGAGCTTGGTAGAGGCTGGGGGGGTCGGAGATCTTGGTCTGAGACGTTTTTTCGGGGATCTCCATGGGTGTACCGGCATGTGACTACTATTATGATGCACTCCATACGTGGAGGGAGCCGAGGGGAGGATAGGGCTAGCTCTTTTAGCTTGGATCGGAATAGCTCTTAGCTCTCCTCTGTCGGAGTAGTGACTATCGTACCACACATAGTGTTCGTTACGGGGCGGGGCGGGGCGGGTTTCCGCAAGTTCTCCCCGCCCCGTTACGGCCACAGGGCACCGCCAAACTCCCCACTCCCCGCCCCGCCCCCCGCACGGGGGCTACCGGGTGACCCCAATTGTGTTCCCAGCCATATAATTTGGGGGGAGCAGTAGCGGGGCCCCGTACAGGGGGTGGCCAGGGCGGGGGGCCGTATTGGGCCGGGGGGGGAATGGAGGAGAAAATAGGCCCCGTCCCGGGCCAAACGCCGGGGCGGGGCGGGGAACGGGGGCAGGGACCTGCAGTTTTCGGGGCCCCGGAGGCCCCGTAACGAACTC